TTTGAGACGGTGTCTTGCTCTGTCGCCCAGGCTGGAGTGCAGGGGCGCAGTCTTGGCTCACTGCAGCCTCTCCCTCCCGGGTTTAAGCAATTCTCCTGCCTCAAACTCTCAAGTAGCTGGGATTGCAGGGGCCTACCACCATGCCGAGCTAATTTTTGTATTTTTAATAGAGACAGGGTTTTACCATGTTGGCCAGGCTGGTCTTGAACTCCTGAACTCAGGTGATCCGCCCACCTCGGCCCCAGCTAATTTTTGTATTTTTTGTCGAGACGGGGTTTCACCATGTTGCCTGGGCTGGTCTCGAACTCTTGACCTCAGGTTATCCTCCTGCCTCGGCCTCCCAAAGTGCCGCTATTACAGATGCGAGCCACCGCGCCTGGCCAAGAACTTCTAACAGTTTCTAAATCTGGAACAGCTTTTTGTCTATACATGCCTCTACACAATGCGAGGATTGAACACTCAAAGTGGAGTCTCTCTTGCTTTTTTCTAGGATTAAAAACGTCACCCCTGACACTGCTTACCGGGACTTCTGTCTTGCTCTCATTGGGAAGACGACCCTCACTCACCTGACCCTGGAAGGGCACATCGAGTGGGAACGCACGATGCTGCTGCTGATGTGTGATCTGTTCAGATCTCCCAAAGGCAACCTCCAGTACCTGAGGTGGGTCTCACGGTCACGGCTCTCCTGAAGACCCCGAGTCCTCTACGCCGTGTTGCTGGAGGATTCAGGAAAAAGGGTAACTGCTGCGGATGCCGTGCCAGGCAGGGAACGTATCCCTCAAACAGGCCTGTGGGGTGTCAGCCTGTCTTTCCCCCACCAGCTTGACTTAACTAACCAGCTCTCAATGCAAAGAAACATCCAGAATTCTGTGCTGTGTTTCAGCTTTAGGGACGTGCTACTCCTGACTGCCTCTCACCTGCCTGTTGGGATTGAGAGCAGCAGCCCCCAGCTTTTTCTGCACTGGGGACCCGTTTTGTGCAAGACAGGTTTTCCACAGCCAGGGGTTTGGGGGAGTAGTTTTGGGATGAAACTGTTCAGTCTCAGATCACCAGGCTCTGGGGCCTGATCCCCGTGCAGTGCTGTGATCCCAGCACTTTGGGAACCTGAGGTGGATGGATCATCAATCCGGATCATCAGGAGCTAGGGACTCATAGGGGGCATGCAACCTTCTCCATACTTCTATGGGATTTTTTTTTTTTTTTTTTTT